CATCATCATCATCATCATCACCACCATCATCACCATCGTCATTACCATCATCATCATCATCAACACCATCACCATCATCATCATCATCATCATCATCATCATCATCATCATCATCATCATCATCATCATCATCATCATCATCATCATCATCATCATCATCATCATCATCATCATCATCATCATCCTCTCCCCCTACTCCTCCTCTTCCTCATCCTCCTCATCCTCCTCCTTATCCTGATCCTCATCCTCCTCCTCCGATTCATCCTCCATCCTCCCCTACTTAGTGCACGACGTCTCACCCAGCCCTTTATTCCACTGCATTATCCTCCACATCTCTGATCGGTGCAACTCGTCGGGGCATGATTTCTGGATGGGCTGATGGGGGTACGCGAAGCGTCTAGAACAACACTAACCGTTCCTGGCAACGCCCTGGCCGGCCACGGATAAGTGCACCCTTGTAAACGATCCAAGCTCACAGGTCGAGGTTGCGCCGAGCCCATTCCGCGCCCAGATTGATGGCATTGGCCTCACTCATGGCCTGCTCCGCCAAAGCAGCGGTAGCGAACTTCACGAAGAGCCCGTCGACACGGTCGTTCATCTGCAGGGCCACGAAGCCGACCTTACTCCTGAAATCCACCTCCGTGCCCAGGGCGCGTCGTGGAGTGCCCAAGGCCAATACAATTTGAAGAGTCGGATGATGGTGAAGACCTAGACCCCTGACTTGCCGGAACTCATACGCCCATCTGGGCGTTTCTGTGCACTTCTGGTATGCGCGTGTGCGTGCGCTCGCGTGCCAGCTGCCCCGTGGAGAGACCCCGTGGAGGCCCCGAGGGCACGGCGGCGAGGAAACGCCAGAGAGGCCACCAGATAGTCCTGCAGGCTGTCGGGGAAGCTGCCCTGCTTCACGTTGAAGCCCAGGACGGCTATCGTGGCAAGCTCACCAACGATGCCGCGCGGCCGCTTCGGCGGCGGCCCGCCCTGCTGGTACGGCGCGGCGCCGTGGAACGAGGGAGCCCCGTAGGCCTGCGGTGCGCCGTGGGCCTGCAGCGTCCTGTGCGCCTGCTGCGCGCCGTAAGCCTGCGGCTGCGCGGGGAAGCGCGCCGGGGGCCAAGCAGTCGCGGCCCCCCTGTCGTCGTCCAGATTCCGCCGCGCCCACTCCGCCCCATAGCCCCGGGCCCCCGCGTCGTGGAGGGCACGGTCGGCGTCGACGAAGGACGAGAACCTCACGAAGATCCCACCGATCCTGTCGTTCCACTGGAGGTTGACATAGCCGGGGCGGTTCAGGAACCATTGCTGCACCTCGTCCACGTCCAGGCCCCTGTTCGGTGACGGGCGCAGGGGGGGAAGGCAGAGGAGGCGAGTCCTCTCAGAGGGCTCAGAAGGCCTGCAGCCTTCTGAGAAGCTTGCTGGTCCTTCTCCGAAATCACAAACGGCTTCTCTCGGGGATGGACAGAGCCCCCTTTAGTAAAACGTGGTTTGGTGAAAACGACCTCGGGCCCAAACCTGGCGGGCGCAAGCCAGGAAAATGACGGCCGCGGCGCCCTCTCAAGAACCGAAAACGGACAACTCACTAATCGTGTCAGGGTGGGGGTTCTGTCCACCCCCGATCCGTCTCTGAGGGCACAAACGGCTTCTCAGAAGGCGCGAGGGCTTCCGAGAAGCCCCGCCGCCCTCTGAAAAGGCCTGCCCCCTCGCACTTCCACCCTGGGCACGCCGCCGGCCTGTCCCTGAGGCCCAGCACGGCCAGGGTCATCAGCTCCTCGCCCGAGGCGGTGTATCTCCTCTGAGCCGTCCCCACAGGGACCATCGCGGGTGGTCCGTGCACTATCGGTGCAACCGTTACCTGTGGGACTGCTACGCCCCTGTCGTCGTCCAGGTTGCGCCGCGCCCACTCGGCTCCGTACTGCAGCGAGTTGGCCTCCTGCAGCGCCCTCTCGGCAGCGGGCTGCGAGTCGAACTTAACGAAGAAGCCGCCGAGCCGCTCGTTGGGCTGCAGAGTAACAAATCCGGGCAGCCCTCTTCTGGACGCCCAAAACGGGTGCGGAGCAAATGAGCACGATGCCCAACAGCGAATGCTGTGTAAGATCGACAGCGGCCGCTGTTGGGCAGGCGACTCCCCGTCCCCCGCTGGAACGCGTCCGCGGCGATACCGACAGCGAGCCCTGCTCAAAATGAACCACATATGCTGTCGGTCTTCGTCCCCGCTCTCCGTCGGGGAGAAGGTGCCCGAACGGATTGTACCTCGTCCCTGCGCGCGTTCGTCCGTCGGAAAGCCGCCCCTCTGGAGGTAGGCGACCCGAGAAGGAGGAGGAGGAGGAGGAGGAGGCGGAGGAGGAGGAGGAGAAGGAGGAGGAGGAGGAGGAGGAGGAGGTCCACGCCGGGGGGCCACGCCGGGAGGCTGCGCCGTGGGGCCACGCGGGGGGACTGGGAGGCCACACTGGGAGGCCACGCCTGCTGGGGTGCGTTCTGACCAGGATTTCGAGGCGAATCCAGCGGTGGCGACGAGGGCCTCCCAGGAGGCCCAAAGGAGTAAAGCGGGCGAGGGGGCAGAGGTATGGGTACCTTTTCCTCCTCTGATACTGAATACCCGTTTCGGTCGTGCCGACCTCTGAACCAGTCCTGTACCTCCTCCGGGCGGCGGCCCCTGTCCGTCAGGCCCAGGACCGCGAGCGTCACCAGCTCTCCTCCTGCGGCACTCTGGAGAGGCGTCGCGCCCCAGGACATCACCCAACCCGTCCGCCTCCTCCTCCTCCCCTCCTCCTCCTCCTCCTCCTCCTCCTCCTCCTCCTCCTCCTCCTCCTCCTCATGTTTGTTGGAGGGCCAGTCAAGAAAACGGCAGCCCTCCCCAGCGATGTTTGTCCATTCTGGGCCTCCTGGAGACCTCTCGCCGCCACAACTGGACATGCCTCGAAAAAAACGTCCCCATCTCTTCTCGCCGAAGACGCTTGGCCCGAGTCCCTCGCGTCTCCCCCATCGAGCGCTGCCTGAAGAACGCATACTGAAGGGGCCCAAGGACACACAAATAAATACACCAAATAAAATATGTCCCATATGTTCCCATATTTTCTGGGTTTTCGTCTTCCCCCAATCCCCATAGTTTCCCATATTTTCTGGGGAATCGACGAGTAATTGTGTCTGTGAGTTTCTTTCCCTCCTGACATACATAGAAGCGACAGAGGATGAGAGAGGGAGAGGGAATTAAGATATAAAGAAACGCCGGCTGCGTGCAGGGAGAGCGCCTGGAGCGCGTTCGTACTCGAGGCACGGTTGCTTCGGCAGCAAGCAGATTGAGCTCTTGGCCACCCGCAGGCGGGAGCCGAGCATGTACTGCCGTCGCCAGCAAAGTGGAGCTTGAAGGGGCTCAGCGGAGCGCGGAGACGGCACAAGCTCACGGCTTCCATACTAGCAGCGACATCGTCCTGTAACATTGAACTCGACAGGATAAACGAGGAGTTGCGAGAAGTGATATACAAGGAGTTGCGAGGATGGTAGTATCAAGAAGTACGAGAGCTGGTATGTGTGTCAGCACATGGTTACCCCACGTGCCAGGTCCACGGGGGTGGTATTGAAAAGTTAGAACTGGCGGCTGCGACGGCAAATGGATCATTCGGCACGAGTTGCAGACTCCAGTAGGATGACGGATGGTCATGCTGAGATGGGGCATCCCACATGCAGCCCAAAATGGCCTCTGCCTGCGCGAAGCATTACTCGGCTCTACGCGATGTTCGCATGAATGCACGGATCCTCGCAGCAGCATGCAAAAAATCGAGGGGGGGCAAGCAACGCTTGCCTGGCAGCGGTGCACTGGTGGCTTGCTGAACCGTCCTGCTTGATTGACGCTGCGCGGGAAACATACTACACTTTTGGCGGCACCAAGGGCACTCCTGAAACTAGAAGTGGACGGAGTGATGGCGAATTGAAAACCACAGCGAGCACTTTTATGATGCGATGGGCTTGCAGCAGGAACTAGGCTGCACAGATGCACTGGAAGCACGCGCGGCGCGGCCAACGCATCCAATTACAAGTGTGCACCCGGGATTCCTGATCGCCCGAAACGTGGCCCAACCGAGGCCACGACGTGGGCCCGATGAGGGTGGTTAGTGAAGCAAAGGGTTAGCGATTCAACTCGCGTACTGGTTTTCCGGCCGCCCCCCCCCCACTGGAGCAAATGTATCGAGGAGGCGTCCAGCGGCGGGAGGGAAACCAGCTGCATGCTGCACGCAGCAAATGTAACCCCGGCTCTCCCTATCCCACCGTTTCGTTTCGTCCGACCCGACCCAAACTCTCGAACACATCACTGGGACCTCTTTTTTCGCCGGGGATCCACTCTGGCACTTCCAGGCCGCGCCGACAGCCCGGCGACGCCGAAAAGGTAACAAACAGCACAAACCATACACCAAAACAAACAAATCCACAAACAAATCCGCCGGCCCCCTTGCACAAGCCATCGGGCTGCGAAGATCAGGCTTGCAGCTCCGTGTACCAGTTGCAGCTTCCAGTTTCCACTGTTACAGTCCTGCTTTCTGTTTCCTTACTGTTATTTGCTGCTGAACGCGCGAGGGGGGGGGAGCCGAAAAGCGTCCTGGCTAGCGTCCCCAAATCGCGTTGTCTGAATTCCCGGGGGGTCGCGGGACACATAATGATACATGAGATTCGCGTCCCCAGGGCCATAAACCCTCATAGATTACGCCATATTCGTCTCCGATGCCATAAACCCTCGCAAACTAAACAACATTCGCGTCCCCGAAACCACAATCCCTTGTAAAATACTCCATACTCGCGTCCCCGAAGCCATAAACCCTCGTAAATCACATAGTATTCGCGACCCCGAAGCCATAAACCATCAAAAACTATCAACTATTCGCGTCACCAGGGCCATAAACCTTCGTAAATTACACCATGCTTGCGTCCCCGAAGCCACAAACCCTAGCAAAATACAAAATAGTCGCTTCCCCACCATCGTAAATTATACAATATTTGCGTCCCCGAGGACAAAAACCCATCGTGCATTAAACAATATGTGCGTCCCCGAGGCCGCAAACCCTTGTAAATTATACAATATCTGCGTCCCCGAAGCCATAAACCATCGTAAATGACCTGATCTTCGCGCCACCGAAGCCATAGACCTTCGTAAATTGATATTGGCCCTCACGTGAAGTTCCAACATTGCTTCGCGTCAGCGTCCAGACATCCCAACACAGCTCTGGCAAGTCTCATTCTCAGAGAGGGGGGGCCGGCGGCATGTGGGCGAAGCCCTTACGGATAAACAACCAAACAAAACATGATCGACCCACGAACCCGGAAAGGAATACAGAAATGTAAGGCGTGGCAACGCTTCAAAGACACCTGATTGGGCGAAGGGAAAATTCAACGCTGAGTCTATCGATCTTGATGTACCGTGCCGAGGGCTATGCTGTGCTGCACCGTACTGAATTGCGATGTGCCATGCCGAGATTGTGCCCTATAGCGTTCTGGATCGAGTCCTCCTTTGCATCCGAGTCCTGACCGAACTGATCTGGATCTTAAGCTCGAGCTGCCTGAGCACATAGTAGCTGGCCCAGAGCATTGACATGGGGACATGCCAGGAGGACGCGCCGCGGAACGTCCCACGGGACGCACCAGGCGACGTGCCAGGGGACGTGCCACGGGGACGCACCGTGGGGCGTGCCAAGGGGACGCGTTACAGAACGTGCCAATGGACGTGCCACGGGACGTGCCAAGGGACGCGCCGCGCAACGTGCCAGGGGGACTCGCCACGGGACGCGCCACGGAACGTGCCAAGTTGCACTGCTGAGTTATCGATATTGATGTACCGTGCCGAGAGCTGTGCTGCGCTGCACCGTGCTGAATTGCGATGTGCAATGCCGAGGTTGCGCCCTATAGCGTTCTGGATCGAGTCCTCCTTTGCATCCGAGTCCTGACCGAACTGATCCGGATCGTAAGCTCGAGCTGCCTGAGCACATAGTAGCTGCCCCAGAGCTGATCGACAGGAGAACATGCCAGGAGGACGCACCGCGGAACGTCCCGAGGGACGCACAAGGCGACGTGCCAGGGGACGTGCCACGGGGACGCACCGCGGGACGTGCCAAGCCAAGGGGACGCGCTACGGAACGTGCCAATGGACGTGCCACCTCATGTTAGACATCCGCCTGGGCGAACTGAACACGTGAATACAAGTTGTTCGCTCGAGACATCCTCAACACATCTTCGTTTTAGACGTTCGTTCCAGGCCCCAGGAAGGCCCATGTTAGATACCCCTTAGGTGGCCTGCACACGTTAAAGCACATGGATCCGCCATATTAAATACCCCCCTGGGCGGCCTGGACACGTAAAACCACGGGATTCCAATTCGGGACGAGCATGTTAGATACCGCCCTGGGTGGCCTGGACACGTTAAAACACACGGCCCTTGCTCGGGAGAATCATGTCAGATACCCCTCTGGGTGGCCTGGACACGTTAAAACACGTGTCTCAAGCTCGGGACAGCCATGTTAGATACCCCCCTAAGTGGCCTGGACACGTAAAAACACGTGGTGCCAGTTCGGGACTGGGTGGCAGCTCGGGGGAACCATGCTAGATATCCCCCCTGGGTGGCCTGGACACATGAAAACACATGGATCCAGCCCAGGACAACCATGTTAGATACCCCCTGCGTGGCCTGGATACGCTGACGTCGCGGTCCCGATCGACACATCCTCGCAATGTCTTCCCAGGAGAGGCCCCCAAAGCGCCACCCCCTGTCCAGAGCAAGACACCATCACTTTTCTGGTTTGGGATATGTGTTGGGGTAACGCGTTTCGCGCCCCCCCCCGTGCGTTTCCTGGTAATTCGGCGGTGGGCCCGACGCCATGTTAGATATCCCCCTGGGCGGCCTGGACAAGTAAAAACATTCGGTTCCAGTTCGGGGCAATCAGGTTAGATACACCACTGGGTGACCTGGACACGTTAAAACACGTGGTGCCAGCTCGGGTCAACAATGTTAGATACCCCCCTGGGTGGCCTGGACACGCAAAAACGTGGGTGCCAGCTCTGGGCAACCATGTTAGCTACACCCGTGGGTCCCCTGGATACGTGAAAACACGTGGTGCCAGCTCGGGACAACCATGTTAGATACACCCCTGAGTGCCCTGAACAAGTTAAAACACGTGGTCCTTGCTCAGGACAATCATGTTAGATACCCCCCTGGGTGGCCTGGACATGTAAAAACATATGGTTCCAGCTCGGGGTAACCATATTGGATACCCCCTGCGTGGCCTGGATACGCTGAATTCGCGCTTCCGCTCGACACACCCTCACAATGTCTTCCCAGGAGAGGCCCCCAAAGCGCCACCCCCTGCCCAGAGCAAGAAAGCATTACTGTCCTGGATTGGGATATGTTCGGGTAGCGCTTTTCGGCCCCCCGTGCGTTTCCCGATAATTCGGCGTTGGGCCCGACGCCATGTTGGATATCCCCCCTGGGCGGCCTGAACACGTAAAAACACGTGGTTCCAGTTCAGGACA